TCTCATAGCAAAGACTGAATGAGGTATCTCAAGCCAACTGCAACCTTTGGTCAATGTTCTAGATTTGGCATGTGATTCACCATCTATGAAGACTTCAGAAGTACTTAAAAAGTGCCTCTAGCCAGGCGGTGGTGGTGCATGCCTTTAATCCCAGCACTCAGGAGGCAGAGGCAGGCAGATCTCTGATTTGGGGCCAGTCTGATCTACAGAGTGAGTTCTAGGAAAGCCATGGCTACATAGAAAAAAAAAGCACCTCATCGACTATTTCCATGAGATTAAAGGATTCATAACAATATCTATTGTTTGAATGAGCTCCTATAAGATTTACAGAAAATCCAAAGTTTTGGTGAAGATTATAGTGCCACAAGCATTGTTAGCATGGAACAAGAGGTACAGTTCAAAACGGAAAAAAAAATGGAAAGAGATCTATAGGTCATTGACCTCCAGTGTCCAGGAAGCAGACCAGCTGGCCGGATGCATTACTCTCTTGGACAGGAAAGATAACAGAGGGAGGAGTGGAAGAGATGGATTCACAGTTGAAAGCATTCATTGCTCTTGCAGAGGACCTGAGTCTGGCTCCTCCCACCCACACAGCAAGCTCACAACTGCTCACAACTCCAGTTCCAAGGAATTTGATGCCCTAGTGTGACCCCCTCAGGGGGGGCTGCAGGGATATATTTTAAGAACTCAGCTGGTTATGGCACCGCCACTACCTGAAGGGATCAAGGATTTCCTTCAGAGGAAGCCAAATTCCAGGGAACATTTGGTGTTACTTGGCTTGTTATATATCAGCTGTCTTCTATTAGGAAAATCATGTGTACCTTCACAGTTTTCCCAATTGACTTTTCCCTAAGAATTGCTAACAGTGTGGACTGATCACTCTTTGGACATATACATTCAAGGTATTTGGAGAACAGCCTCAGGAAAGGTTTCCTTCTCCCCAGCCCATCCGTTTCTCCCCTTTCAGCACTGGAATCAGATTTCTCCCTTAGCCACTTTCAAGGACTAACAGAAATAACAGTCCAGACCACCATATAATAAGTCTCCTGATTTAAGGTAAATTCCACAGACACAGCCTAGTTCAGGTGGACCTTAAATAATAGCTTTACACAATTTAGCTCAGACCCTCCTTTTCTTAAAGCTTTACTAACTTTATAGACCTCTAACTCCTTACCTAACCACTTCTAGGAATATTTAGATAACCTTCTGCGCTGACAGCTATGCTCAGCCAGAATCCCAGTTCAAGCCTCCCTGTAATTATCATCATTGGCAGCATCCCGCCAGGTCCATCCCCAGATGGAGGAAAGTACCTTATCAGAGATACCTCTGTACTCTCTAAGAAAAGACTTAAGCACCCAGACTACCCATTTGAAAAGGCCTGGCAGATGTGCCACTTAAGTTAACTACCTCCTTTCCTAGATCTTACCTTTAGCTCCAGATCTCCCTTTAACTATCACCAGAGGCATCTAGCGGTACACAGGTAGCCTAGGAACCAAGCACACTTTCCCTCACCTTGCAGAAAAATGGCAGATAGCTTGGACAGATAGGAGCCACAGGAAAAAAGGAGACAGTTTTATTTTCTCCCATTGACATAGCAACTTATAGATTCTTAACATTTTCTACCAATCACGTTTAAGGTTATAGTTGAGCACATAAGACCCTTCTTCTTGGATATTACCGAATTTAGCCTTTAGTTAATTCATTTCCCCATTAGTCACTTCCCTTTTGGGTTGCAAATGATAATTAACAATTACTGCCCCTCTATGTGATTCTTATCACCCCTCCGCTTGACCCTGGAAGCACTTTGCACTGCCAAGGGATTACTGCTTATAAGTGTGTGTGTGTGTGTGTGTGTGTGTGTGTGTGTGTGTGTGTGTGTGTGTGTGTGTGTATACTGGGACTCTCAGGGCTCAGGAGGATGAAGAAGAAGATTTGGGAGAATAAATGACTGGACTAAGAGCTCGGTGTGCTGAGATTCTATTTCCTGAAAATAGTCCTTGCCATTCGTAGTTCTCTCTCCTGAGCCCCTGGGATGAATAATATTAAGACTGGCCCTTCTAATATTATACAAGAATTAGGCCTATACATGGTATGTGTACATATATACATGCAATCATACACACACACACACACACACACACACACACACACACACACACACACGTAAAAATAAATAAATAAAAACCCATGGAGGGAGGGCATCATCAGAGGTGTGGTTCCCAGCACCCACACTGGACAGCTCACAACTGCCTGGAAGTCTATTTCGAGGGGATGCGATATCCTCTCTGGCCCTCACCTTCTTCAACGGTCAAACCAGGAAAAGCAAGAAGCCGGCTTGAGCTTGCCGAAGACATATGCACAGAGGGAGAGATGGCAAATCTCTAGTGATTTCCTCAGCCAAGGAGGAGAAAGGATGTGTTAGCAGAACACACGGCTGTGGAAGCTGGCATGGGCCACCGAACCAGTACGCGTGACTGTGGAAATCAAAACGAGCCACTGTATCTTTTTTTAAAAAAACTACAATAAAAATCTGACTGCTCAGTGTCATTCTAGTGCGACCATGCTCTGCTCATCTGAGATTAACCAAAGGATGTCCACCTCTTCTTAGATATGTTTTGGGGCATTCCCCTACCAGGCTGGTGGCACTCTCAGGCTGACTCATGGCTTCCTTTGCTACAATCCGCTGACTATAATGTGGTGATTGCTGTAGACCCTCCCCACCCATCCAGGGCTTCAACCACCCAGAGGTCACAGGAGCCCAGGTTGCTGTTATGTCAGTTCCTTGTCAACCTTAATACTTCACGCCAGGCACAGAGCCCTGGGAAAGCAGGTGTCAGGGAAGAACTCTGACCATGTACAGAAGGAACCAGGCTTTGGCAAGGCAGAAGGGGTTCCTAGAGAAGGCAGGACATCCTTGGACAGTGGTCAGGCTCAGGGGAAAGATGGCTGCCTGCTGATGTCCTGAAGCAGCAGCTGTAGCAGCTGAGGTGGTCCCATGCTGAGCAATGAGGTAAGGAGGCAAGGATGGACCCAAGAAAACGGGGCTTCTTGCTGGGTAGTGGTGGCGCACACCTTTAATCCCAGCACTCAGGAGGCAGAGCCAGGCAGATCTCTGTGAGTTCAAGGCCTGCCTGGGCTACAGAGTTCCAGGACAGGCACCAAAACTACACAGAGAAACCCTGTGTAAAAAATAAATAAATAAAAAATTTTTTTTAAAAATGGGGGAGGGTTCCTTCCACTGGTCTTCACCAGGGCTTCATCATCCCCTATAGTTCAGAGATCCACGGTGCCCATCTCTGCCTGGTTCCCAGATGTTTTTCACAGCAGAGAGGGCTCCTCAGTTTTCAGACCCTGTTTTGGACTGGGAAAGCCATGAGAAGTGTCTGGTGACTGAAGGTAGGGAATGGGGAGGGGCTGGATGGGATGGGGGCACCTAGGGGTGCAGGCCAGGGGTGGGAGTTCTGGGGTTTGTGTTCAGAGTGTAGATAAGTGTGTAAGATATAAATGTGTGTGACATATGTGCTGGATTGAGTAGCAACCCCCAAATCCACATGCACCTAGAACCCGTGGATTTGTAGATTTAAACATCTCTGTGGGTGCTGAGTTACAACAAAGTCCTCCTGAAGGAGAGTGTCTCTAGAAGAGGGAAACAGACGCAGGGAGGGACATGGTAGCAGGGATACCCGGGGGTGGTGGCACGAGGGGATAAAAGGAGATGCTGCCAGCCAGGGACATAAAAGCTTGCAGCAGCCTCAGGGGCCCAAGCCTCTTTGGTGCTTTCAGATCAGGCATCCCACCCATCGCTCCAGGGTGGACTTAGCTCCGAGGCTGTGAGAGCGTGCGTTTCCGATGGTTTGTCAGAAAGACCTGCTTTGTGGTAATCTGTTAGGGCAGCCAACAGGAATGTGTGTGTGAAGGAGCAGACCTGGAGATGAAGCGTGTGTGAGTATAAACAAGTGCCAATGGGGGGGAATGTGGGTATGCGTGTCAGCGTAGAGAGCACTGTGGTTGTGTGTTTGGGAGCATGGATGTGTGGGTGAGCAGATGGGAAACACACCTCTCGGTGTGGTGTGTGTGTGTGTGTGTGTGTGTGTGTGTGTGTGTGTGTGATATCACATGTTGGGTGTGAAGTCTGCATCTATCTGTGTGGGTGTCAGTCACACCGACAATGGTCTGAGGCAGCACAGATGGATTAGTTCCTCTGAGCACCCTTGCCTTCCCATCTGGTACCCAGTGACCCTCTCTGACTTCCCGGTGCCCCAACCTGGCCCACATCTCAGACATAGCAGTGAATAACTTACAGCAAACAGAGCAAAACAAGACCTGCGGGTTGAAAGGTAGAGTACATTCAGGAACAGCAACAATGACGACGACAAAAAAACTCTTGGTAAACAAAACACAGATCAGCAGTGTGCTGCAGGTGGCGCATGCCAGCCTTGGGCGCTCCGTTGTGTTTTCAAGGGTGTGTGAATCAGTTGTGGATCCCAATCACCATCGTGCACTAAATTAATATAAATATATAATTAAATCAATACATTTTTTAAAAAAACGTAGTAGGTGCTTATACCATTGCTTTCTAATTATTTCCCATGTCTTACCATGACAGGCACCCTGAGGCTACAGACACAACTCTCTTTAGGGAATCAAGAGGTAGCTGGCCCACCATGCGGCTGCATTTCCTCCCTCTCCAAACTCAACCACAGCATCTGGCCTAAAATTCACCGGGGTGAGGGACTGGGGAGAGGCTTCAGTGGTTAAAGCGTTTGTTATGCAACCGTGAGGACCCGAGTTCAGATTCCCCCAAACCCATGTAAAATGTGAGGTGGGTGGAGTGGCCTCCCTGCCATCCCAGCCTTGGAAGGTAATGATAGGGATCCGCCCAGCAAGCTGGTTAGTGAGGCAAGCCATACTCTTGAGTTCTGGGTTTGCCTCGGCGCGCGAAGGGGACGGAACAATCATGCGATGATTCCCAACATCAAACTTGGGCTTCCACCAGCGTCGGGAGTGCTGTCAGAAATTTGCTGAGCCTACCAATCAGCTCCCACTCTGAGAGCTGAGTGCTTGACTTCTGCGGGACACCAGTAGGGAGACCAGTGTTCTAGGGACTGTCTTAGTCAAGGTTTCTATTGCTGTGATCAAACACCATAACCAAAGGCAACCTGAGGAGAAAGCAGTTTATTTCAGCTTATAGCTTGTAGTCCATCCTCTAGGGAACTCCAGGCAGGAGCCGATGCAGAGGTCATGGAGGAGTGCTGCTTACTGGCTTGCTCCTCATGACTTGCTCAGCCTGTTTCCTTATACCATCCAGGACCACCCACCCAAGGGTGGCACTGGGCTCACCCACATCAATCATTCATCAAGATGCTGCCTCACAGGCTTGCCCACAGGTCAATCTGGTGGAGGCGTTGTCTCAGCGAGGTTCCCTCTTTCCAAACGACTCTAACCTGTGTCAATCTGACGTTAAAAACTAGCCAGCACGGGGACTGACCAGAAAACCAAGTCACATATGGCTGGAAAAGAGGAACAGAAAAAAAAATAAGGTAAAATGAGCTACAGGAGTTTTGTGCCCTCCAAATTCCCAGTCACACCCAGTCACCAAAGGCTGAAGAGAACCACCCCCCCTTCCCCAGCACATTCAGTTAAAGGAGCTGAGACCTCAAATGGTGGGACTTTAAAAAAGTGTGTTAACTGAGACAGTTGATTAGCTTGAACTGTTTGGGAGGCATCCAGGCAGTGGGACTGGGACCTGTCCTCAGTGCATGAGCTGGCTGTTTGGAACCTGGGGATAATGCAGGGACACTTAGTTCAGCCTGGGAGGAGGGGACTGGACCTGCCTGAACTGAATCTACCAGGCTGAACTCAATTCCCAGGGGAGTCTTTGCCCTGGAGGAGATGGGAATGGGGGGTGGGCTGGCTGTTTGGAGCCTGGGACCTATGCAGGGACACTTTGCTCAGCCTGGGTGAAGGGAGGAGGGGACTGGAGCTGCCTCGACTGAATCTACCA